CAACACGCCAGTAGGAAGTCTTCGTCGTGGGTGAAGGCGTGGGTTGGGGGGGTTGGGGGTGGGGTTGGGGGTGGGGGTTGGGGGGGAAAGACGAACCACGAACGAGTGAAGCTGGGTTGGGGGGGAGCCAATGAGGGAGGGATGATGCCGGGTGCCTGGCCGGGTGCAGCAGAGTGAGGGTGGGGGCTGCGGCCGCCATGGCGGCGGGTGGGCGGAGTGGTAGCGGTGGCGGAGTGAGGGCCCCCGGCGGCGGCGACCGGGTCTCCGGAAGAGGAGGAAAGAGGCCATCCCCGTCGCCACCATCACCACCACCACCACCACCACCACCACCACCACCACCTAGATAGCTTGAATCCCCTCCCGTACAAGTCTGGACCTGCACTCCCCCCAGCAGCAGTAGCACCAGCATGTATGGTTACAGCAGATACACAATAACAGACTCTCATGACCATACACCGTACATTCGTACGTAAGCCAGACACGCATCCGCCCCCTCGTCCCCGTCCCCTCCTCACCTCCCCGTGTGTTTAACGAGCACCCACAGCGCCCCCGACAAGAAGTACAGCAGCACCGCCAGCGGGAACCCCGTCACCGCCGCACAGCCCAACATCCACCTGGGGGGGACACGGGGGGGGGAGGGGGATCTGGGGGTTAGGGGTGTACGGGAAGGACTGAACCAACTACCAACGGACAACAGTAACAACTAAACGGACCGCAATCAACGGTATGGACCAGATACGTCGACAGCCGAGGATAAGGCCTTTCAGCCCTTCGTCCTGTCCCCGCTGGTTGCCCCTCATTCCCCCCTCCCGTTACCCCCCCATCCCCACCCCCACCTGAAGTACTTGTGGCAGTATAGCTGCAGCCCAGCCGCCTCCTCTCGGTACCCCATGACCGCGTACAGCCAGACAAGAAACCCTGGAGCAGACGGGGGACGAGAGAAGAGGGCGGGGGAGAGGGGCCCTGACATATGTCGACCTCTCATACATACATACATACATACATACATACATACATACATACATACATACATACATCTCCCCTCCTCTCCCCCCTTCTTCCCTGTTGAGGGGAGGGGGGTTACCCGGGATGCAGGGCCGGTACCGGATGCGGCCACGTGTCACAAACACACAACACGACACACTCACCGGCGGACACAACGCGCCCACAACGACGAGACGCACAGCCCCCAATCAACTAGCCCGTGTTGCCTTGCCTGCCGGGTCCCCCCCCCCTCGCCCCTGACCTCCACCTCCGCCCCAAGAATCTCCCCCCAAGGTAGTATACAGTATACAAGGCTCAACAAGCCACGGGCCGTACACCCCATTACACAACCAAGGCCCCTCCTCGCGCCGTGTGGGAGCCCCCCGCCCCCTTCCGGCCCCCCGGGCCCCCCGCCCCCGCACCTGCCAGTGCAAACATGGCCATCCGGGGCACCAGCAAGGTGACGAACACCCCCATGTACAGCCCAGTCGCAAGCCACCTCACCACGGCGGGGCGTTCGGGGACTAAGGGGGGCAAGGCAAGGGGGACGGAAAGGGGCCGACACAGGGCAGTGCGTGGCGTGGGGAGACGGGTGGGAGACGGGTGGATATAACAGTGAGTGCAGGGGGGAAGGAGATGCATTCACAGCCGGCTGTGTGCCGATACCGGTTTGTCTGTATGTCATATGTATCGTACTTTTCTTTTCCTGTCCCCGTTATCCTATTTGGCCCCGCTCCGAAATCCCGATACGTACGTACCAATGTACGGCCCCACCAATCGCCCCATGGACTTGCTGACGCCGTAGAACCACCAGTCCCATCGCTGAACGGCCGCATCATTGCCATCGTCCTCCTCCCCCATGCCGCCGCCCCCGCCGCTGCTCCGAAACCGCGAGTGGTTGGGCGGCGGTCGTGCGCGGGGCTCTGACTTGAACCCCGACGGACCGTGGTGCGGTTGCTGTTGCTGTTGTTGCTGTTGTTGTTGCGGTTGCTGCTGCTGCTGGCCGCCTCTTGGTGCCCCGGACCCCGTGCCAGCCTGGGGTCGGGCCTGCCCCTGAGCCCCCTGACCCGCCTGACCCTGCTGCTGCTGCTGTTGGGGTCCCGACGGCTTTCCCCGCGTCTGTTGCTGCTGCGTCCCTGGCTTTGAGGCACTTGCCGCAGCCCCCCCCGCCCCCCAAGACTTGTGGTGACCTGACGTCGCAGACGGCTGTGCAGCCGCCGCCGGGCCCCGGCCGGAACCCACACCACTGCCAGTGCCAGTACCTGTGCCAGTACCAGTACCAGTGCCGCCCTTTTCGGCCCCTTCGCTATCCGGTCGGTTGCCCGGCGTGGCTGGCTTGGCGTACGCGTACGGCCGGCTTGGCCGCTGGCCCTGTTCCTGCCCCGCAGGGCCCCCACTCGGTGCTCCTGCCTGCTGAGTCCGTTCTGGCGGCTGCTGGGGGGGCTGCTGGTCCGCGGGTGCCCTGCTCGGGCTGTCGGGTCCCCCTTGATTCCCTTTTGCTGAGGGGGGCCCGGGGGCGGCTCCGGCGCCACACCCAGAAACACCCCCCCCAGTAGCTGCCCCCGGCTGCTTCGTTCCCTGGGTCCCGGACTGGTCCCCCGGGTCTGGTTGCTGGTGGGGGTGGGGGTGGGGGTGGGGGTGGGGGCGGGGGTGGGGGGCTTGGCCCCGCCGGGGGATGCGGTGGTCCGGATCGCAGCGGAAGTTGTAGTCCGCCTGCGGGGTGGGGTGACGTGGGGGGTTTAGTGGATAGGGTGGTTGAGTGCATGGATGGCGTCGGGTAGCTGGGCAGGAGTGGGGCCAGGAGGCGAACCACGGACAGTTAACGCAGACACCGGAGATAGACGGATATAGTACAGAAGAAAAAGACAAATACTCAAGGAATATTTACGGAAAAGATATGATTTAAATAGTGGTCACGGCGGCGACGTGGCCATTGCTAGGTTGCGAAACGAGTTACTAGCTGCTGCCAACTCCAAAGTCCAAAGAAGGCTAAAGGCGAAAGGGAGAAAAGAGGACCTAGCCGTTGAGAGGAGAGGAAAGTCTTTTTAAAGGCAGCAGGAAAGCAAAGGAAACCGTAGTGGTGAAGCGTGGAACCAAAGGCGGTAAAGAGGAAAAGAGGGCAGGTAGTGGGGCAGGGGTGGGGGGTTTATTGAGGTGAGAGGGGCGCTGGAGAGCTAGATGAGGGGTAAGCAAGGTGAGGGAGGGCAAATTGGCAGGTTGGGATTTGGGGGAGGCGTCATTGCGAACCCACCCCACCCCATCCCATCCCACCCCATCCCACCCCAACCGCTGCCGCCTCCTCAAAGAGCCATCCTCTCTATTCCCCAGCACGCCCAGCACACCCTTCACCTCGCCTCCCTCCAGTTGCCCCCCCCGCCCCACCCCTTCCAACACCTCACAGCGAGCTGCTCGGCGTCCTGAGGGCACAGACCCACAGCCCGCTCCAACAGCAAAGACGCCCGCTCCACGTCGCCCTGCCGCGCTGCTGCCAGCGCCCGCTCCAGCCACTGCCGCGCCGCCTCCCGGTTCGCCAGCGCCTTAGCGGCGGCGTACAGCTCCTCACCAGACATCCCGCCCCCGCCGCCGCCGCCGCCGCCGCCGTCCCCGCCGCCGCCTCCAGCCTGGCCGTTTGCGCCGGCCCCGTCGGACCTGGCAGCTGCTGCCTTTCCTGATGCTGATGGCTGCTGCTGCGGTGGACGGGTCGGCGAAGTGGATGCTGGGGGCCCTTCCTGGCACTGAGTATGAGACGACTGCTTTGGGGGCCCCCTGGGAGCGGTGTGTGGGATATCGGCCGGTGATGTGGTGGTGGTGGTGGTCCTGGTGGTGGTGGTGGTGGCGTTGCGGGAACCATTGGCGGTAGCCGCGGTGGAGCCGCTGGTCGTGGTGGTGGTGGTGGTTGTGGCGGTAGTGTTAGTACTGCTACCGACTGCAGCTCCATTTACTGGAGGAGCTGTAACGGAGGTGCCTGTGTTGCTGCTGTGTTGCTGTTTGGCCTGTTTGGCCTGCTGCTGCTGTTGCACTGCTACCGGGCCCCCCTTGGCCTTTGCCGCCCTGGACCCCAGTCCCAGTGCGTCCTGGTAAAACGAGTCATGCACTTGCCGCGGAAATGCAAGCGGCCGGGTGCTACTGCTGCCACTGCCACTGCCGCTGGTGCTGCTGCCGTTGGTGGTCGTGCTGGTGCTGCTGCCGGGGTTATTCGTGGTGGCTGCAGCGCCGCTGCTGCGGCCGTCCGGGGGAGCGCCATTAGCTGCTACGCGTGCTGCTGCAGGCGGCTGGGGCCCGTTGCTGCTGCTCAGCCCCGCCCGGTCCCCCGGGTCCACCCCCCCCGCTGCGGGCCGTGTCCCCGCAGACATGGACGGGCCGGGGGGGAGGTACATTCCAGATGATGAGGAGGAGGGGAAGGACGGGGAGGAGGAGGGAAACGTGTTCAGGCCAGGGGCCGCAGCCGCCATACCACCCACACCCCTCCCCTCCCCCCCTGCCGTACGAGTCAAGGTGCTACTGCGGTGCGTCTCCTCCTCCATGACGGCGGGCGCCGCAACCGGGTTCCAGTACGGCGCGCTGGGGGTACTGGGAGCTGGAGCTCTGGGAGGCCCATAAGGCTCGGAGATGCCGGTGGTCTGCGCAGCGCACGGCGCTGCTGGTGGGGGTGGGGCCGGGGGCGGTAGGGGACATTCCTGTGGTGCAGTGGTGGAGCTGGTTGGTTGGTTCGCTCCCGCCGGCGGTGTAAGTGGAGTTTGCTGGGGCGGCTGTACGTCTACCACCAGGACGGCCTGTTAGGAGGCGGAGGGGGAGGAGGAGGAGGAGGAGGGGGTTGAGGGGGTTGAGGGGGAGGAGGGGGAAAAGACAAACCACGAGCGAGTGAAGCTGCTGCCAGGGAAAGAGTGCTGCGGCAGATGTACATGAAGCAGGGTCGAGGGGGAGGGGGAGGGGGAGGGGGAGGGGGAGAGGGAGGAGGCGGAGGAGGGGAGGGGCCGGGGGACATAGACAGCAGGCGGCAGAACATGACATGATGATGATGAGAGAGGCTCCGAGAGGGGGAAACGTGAAGAGCAGTGAGCGTGTGGCGGTGGGAATGCACTTTCAAACGCCACCTGGTGGAGGCAGAGATGTAAAACCATCTACCAACCGCGTTGCCCCCCGCCCCCTCACGTACTCCAGGGAACCCGGACTCCCACATGCCCCCGCACGGCCCCATAGGGCCCCTCCGGCGGCTGGGCGTTACTCCACACGCCCTGCCTCGCCTGCTCCTCCCAAGCCCGCCCACGACCCCGCCGCAGCCCACCTTGAGCTGGGCCTTCTTCTTGACGAACCGCAGCACCTCCGGCCTCTCGCGCACGGGCGGGTCCATGACCAGCTCCTAGCCCGGGGGCGAGCGGGGCCATGACAGGGGGCGGGAGGGGTGACGAGGGGAGGGGAGGGAAAGACGAAGGGGAGGGGAGGGGAGGGGAGGGAGGGGGCAACAATAATCCACAACCCTAGCAATACCCCCATCACCACTTCCCCCCGCTCCCCCTCTCCATATCCATTCATCCCTGTCCATGTGGACCGTCCGACTCGCCGATGTTCCGGTCGTACAGGTCCCCACCATCCGCTACCCCCGGCGGCCCTCCACGGGGTGAGTGGGGGAGGGAGAGGGAGTGACGGCGGGGGGATAGGACGAGAGGAGAGAAGAGGGTACACCAGGGTGGTGTGGTGTGCGATTGCATCCCGCCCCACCTGTTCCGCCCTGGCCAACATTGCTGAATCCCGGCGGCGGTTCCCTGCTGCCGTGTGTGTGTATGTGTGTGCGTGTGTGTGTGTATTGTGTGTGTGTAATAGACCGACTAAGCGGACCCGCCTTGTGGCCCGGTGTAGAGCGGCCTACGTGCGACAACAACATGACCTCCTCCTGAGCTAAACACACACACCTGCCTGCAGTGTCCTACTAGCCCTCGTAACCGTTCGTCCAACGTGACCAGAGCAGCTGGCAACCCCAAACACACACTCCGAGATCCAGGAGGAGATCAGCTGCTGCTGCTGCTGCTTGTAGCTAGGTGGCTAGGGAGTTCAATAGGTTGCCCGAGACCCTCTCCCTCCTCAGTCCGGAACCCCGGGTGTGATGGCCCTACCTCTCCCCCCTTTCCCCTTTTCCCTCCTCCCCTTTCCTCTCCTCCCCCCCTCCCCCTCCCTCCCCCTCCCCCCCCCCGCTCCCTCCCCCCCGCTCCCTCCCCCTCCGTCCCCACCAGCTTGTATCTCCCGGGCACACGGACTGACACCAGGGTGGGACGAACCACCACATCCAGCTCAGCTGCGCTCTCCACACCTGGGCCCGCGAGGGGGAGGGGCCACAGGGGAGCAGGGAGAAGGGGGAGAAGGGAGGGACACAAATACACACACACACACGTTCAGGTCAGATATCCTCGGATAGCTCTAAGAGGAGCGTGATGAGGGCTTGAGTCGCCCGGCAACAGCGGCCACGTGCTTATGTGGGCGCCGCGTGCTTGTGCCCAGAATGAAAGGGGGAGGGGGTAAATAGCAGCCGGGTACCGGGTCCTACACATCACGATGCTAGAGCTGCTTCCACGACGCGCCCCCAGATGGGGGACAATTGGTCTTCCAGGCAGAGGGCACACAGCAGCAGGTGTGGGTGAGCGGCTGTGACGACCGGAAGGAAAGCACCGGCTACTGGCACCACCCCACAGAGGCACACAGCCCATACTCCCTCGAAAAGGCAAGCAGCCAGAAGCACGGGGCCAAGTCTGCAAGCATCAACTACGTGGCTCGGGGGTCAGAAGCCCCACAGCCTGCTGCAGCCAGTGCTAGAGCGGTTGATTGCAGACGCTCCGAAGTGCAAGCACACATATAACCTCACCCGGTAACTGCACCGCGAGCTGGTACTTCTCCTCACGGCCATCGTCCTGGCACGTCAGAGTATACTGAGGGGCCTTTGTCCATCAGCAGCCCAGCACGTGCGAGACAAGTATTAAGTAAAAGGGGTAATCAACATGTCATCAGTCGCTTGCGAAGCGTGTAAAACCGCAGCATAGAGTGCCAGGATCACCACGGTCTGTGGTCCTGGCGGTCCTAACAATATCCTGATGAAATAATCTCACACCTGCTCTATGACCGACATCAAAGCCAGGGGCACGCCTTCCAGCTTGAACGCCTCGAAGGGCTGCACCGCGGAAGTGGGGTGCCCGCCCAACGACGGTGATCGCTCAGTTGCGTTAAGGGGACATCAAGTACAGCACCTCAACACGTCATGAAATTACATCCAGCTAGCCAATGCTTTGCGGTCCCCACAACACTAGCTGCTAGAAGTAAACCAAGCCATCAGTTTTGCGGCATTATGTGACCGCAAATGTATGAAAAAACATATAAAGAAAGATTTTCACGAGTTTCACATGCCCGAAACTAGTAGTGCAGAACACAGGACGTTTCGGATGTCGTACATAATGCTAACTACAGCGTCCTATCCTTGCAAAATGAGAAATATGACCTGATCCGATGAATAGTCAGCTGAGATTTGGAAGATTATTGTGCCAGAGATTATTGTCGGCATCACAATTTCAACGAGGTTTACCGTGAGCTACTCTGAACATTATGAATAACAAGTGAACCTTATCATATCGGATCCATGCGCTGCGAAAGGATGCAAACCCCCAGCAGCGACCGTGCGCTGCGAGCGCCATTGCTCTGTCCTTTTGTAGCAGATTCACAACACCTGTTCGCAGACGATGATGAAATTAGCTGGTGGGGTTCTCTTAAACGGATGGGGAAGGTAAATCAATGTCGGGTCGAGAGTGTGGCGGACTGTCGGAATGCTTTTCCAGCGGACTGGAGCTTTGAAATATGCTTTGGATATTGATTTGGATTCGGCTTTTTATCGAAACTAGATTCTCAAGCGGCTTTCCAAACGTACTCACATCACAGAGTACGCACAGACACCCGTGTTGACCATCACACCTCCACTTTACTAGCGTGTAGCCGTACCTTCATCTATTGGTGCCGTCTGTGTGTATACGCCTTATAACTTAACGGTTTTTCAACCAGTACCTAGACACCCTGACATTACTGCTCCACCTCGCCGAGTGTTTAGACGACCTGACATTACTGCTCCATCTTTCAGTGTGACATTTTCACCGCCGCTGTTCCACACCTGCTGTCCCCCCAAACGCCAAACACAGGACTTCTCCCAGCAGCTGTCTCTGGCTGGTCCGCTGGCCGTCAACCTGGTTAGCTCCAACGCCCTTGCCCTGACCAACCTTTACTTCGTGTCCCAGTGGGGCGGCACCCGGCAGCTCGCTGCCGCGGCGCTGGGCAACAACGTGGCGGTGATGGTGGGGCGGCTGGTGCTGCTGGGCCTGTGCGGGGCGCTGGACACGCTCGCGGCACAGGTACAGCAACTGTGCGTGTAAAGTGCGTGTAAACTGTCAAATGATCTTTAAAGCCGCGATGAGGGAAATGCCGATTATGGCGCGACACGAACAACTTTAGCAAAGTGAGCTCCGATTACTTCAATTTAAGAACGATTAAAAAAAACTTTTAACTCTCCTCGTGTTGAATTGCATAGGTGCGAAAGCGACTGTGTGGTGGTGGGCGGCTAGAGGGCCAGCTAGAGGTACCTAGCGATGTACGGGGTAGTTCGTGCAGTCCATGCTCCTTCTTCTCCTTCTGCCCCCCTGCCCATCTTCCCCTCCCCCCTCTTTTTTTCTCCCCCCTTCACTTAGTTTCTTCTTTTTCCTCTGCCGGCCAGTCAAAACTTTTTGCAGCAGCGCTCGCATGTATTTTTGTTTTTTTCATCGCACCCTGGTCACAACCTTGCTACCTCTCTGCCTCGCATGTGCCTTTGCCCGCTGCTTCTGCTGCCTGGCCGCCAGGTGAGTCCGAAGTATATCGTGTTGCGTCGATCGGCCAGCTGGACTAGGATAGTCGGGTCAGGCGCGCGTTTTGGGGGTTTGGGAGGAGCACTTGCATACCACCAGCTTTTTATTACCAGCTAATCAGCCAGTTCTTCGCCAAGCCTCGTCAATGTCGCCGCCAGGCCGGCGACAAACTTTATTCCAACTTCACGTCAGCAGTTTTGTACTACTTTTCCGCCCCCTGTACACCTACCTTTACTTCTTTACGGCTTGGCATTACTGCTTTTCTTCCGCGCTTTTTTAGTCTTGGCGGCTAGGTAGGTAGTTTTTTCCGACATCATCTTCATTACATCATCCCGAAGTCGCCGCCTTCAAGAACGCCTTTTAGTCAGCTCTATTTCTGGTACACTCTTTTGCCCTGGCAGCAGCTTCACTCGTTCGTGGTTCGTCTTTCCCTCCCCTCCCTCCCCTCCCTCCCCCCCTTCTCTCGCTCTCATGCAGGCCGCCGTCGCCCTTTCCTCCCGCCGCCCCTCTCCGGTTTCCTTTCCTCCCGCCGCCCCTCTCCGGTTTCCTTTCCTCCCGCCGCCCCTCTCCGGTTTCCTTTCCTCCCGCCGCCCCTCTCCGGTTTCCTTTCCTCCCGCCGCCCCTCTCCGGTTTCCTTTCCTCCCGCCGCCCCTCTCCGGTTTCCTTTCCTCCCACCGCCCCTCTCCGGTTTCCTTTCCTCCCGCCGCCCCTCTCCGGTTTCCTTTCCTCCCGCCGCCCCTCTCCGGTTTCCTTTCCTCCCGCCGCCCCTCTCCGGTTTCCTTTCCTCCCACCGCCCCTCTCCGGTTTCCTTTCCTGCCACTGCCGCCACCGGCT